CGCATTTGTAGATAAATATAATCATGAGTTGTTAATGGCAAATATATTAAAAAATAACTTATAAAAGAAAACATAAATTACTTTAAAAGATTTGAAACATTAAGTGACAATCAAAATACCAAATTTGAAAATACTTGCCAAACAATAACCTCAATTGAGCATTGATTACAAGAAATACCATAGCGGATCGCGGTAGTTGTTTTGTTTCCATTTTTATGGACTTCTCGTGATTTTGTAGAAGAAATTTTATGAAGCGTAAATTATGTGATAAAACTTCGTGTATCGTATTTAAGGTATTGATGTAAGTTCGGATCATTTCTCTGTCTTTTAGCCATTATATATTAATTATTTCTGTGTTGGTGAGTTGGTAATGGGCGGGGGGGCCACTTTTAGGAGGTGTGTGCCCTTTGGGTAGCATACCAAATGCAAAGGGTAATTTACATATGTACTTAATTGATTGCTAAATAATTGTAAAAATACCAAACAAAAAATTTATTTGCACATATACCTAATGTAACATAAACATTTGAATAAATTCTACATATTAAAAACATTCTCTCTTCTCTCTCATTTATCTACTCCTAACAATTCTCCTTAACTACCTATTCATCAGTTTTTTTTTTTCTCTCTTCTTCATTATTTTCTCTCTCTCTCTCCTCTCTCCTCTCACTTATCTTTATTTCATTCCCTTTAAATGTTAATTATCTCTCCATGTAAATTTTTAAATAATTTTTTTTACCTTAAAATTTCTAGTTTATTATAAGTTTATAACACAATACAAGACTAAATAAATTATGAAAAAACAACAAGTAATCATAATCATATTCATTTTTCACGGTGGTTTTCGGAAAACATATAAGTTCAGAAAATATACGAAATAACCTGTTAATTTTATTTTTTCGTATTTTTTTTTTGTTTCACGATCAGTCTTATATGCAGAAGATATACTCATTATATACTCAACATATACATATGATATATTCACTGATTATAAAAGAAAAATATACTAAAATACAGAAGATATACTCATTATATACTCAACATATACATATGATATATTCATTGATTATAAAAAAAAATATACTAAATAATAGTATATTTGTCGGGAACATATACAGAACATATACTAATTAAATACATAGGATATAAAAAATACACAACAGAAGATAAATCAATCTTCTCATATATACAGAATATATAATGAAAATATACAAAAAAACGTATTAGGGGCTAGGTTTAATTTTGACAAACATAAACTATTAAAAAAAAAAATCAAATATACATTGAAATCTTCTTAAATATAAAGAAATCAAAATATGTACTATCCACAAATCAAACAAATCCACTTCAAAGTAAAGTTTTGAGCTACAGGATTGCCAAAACATTAATAGGTTGCTGACGAGCCTTCTTACCATCGGATCCAAAATTCCAACATCCAATTTTCGTCTTTGCTTATTCTTATTCTTCTACGCAGGACCACCAAAATTTTGTCTTTTAAAATTACCCATCAACCCACCAAATTTCAATTTCAAAAATCAATTCATTTTTTCTGCTCTATGGCCGACGGCCAATTGGCGGTCACGGACGGCGTTGGTATGCGGTCGAAGGGTCTCCGGCTTTAAACAATGGCGAGCGGCGCGACCTGACAGCGGCTTTTGATGATGGTCCGTCTGATTGGTCGACGGCTTGGTTGGTTTGAATGAGATCTGCTTGTTGGTGGCATCTCACCAGATCTGCTCCAACTTTGGAAAGACCCGAGCGCGCATCGTAGCGGTAGTGGCTTAGTACTCTTTAATTTGCTGCTAATTTTAAATTGTAATGATGATAATTTTTAAGACTAGAGAATGATAGGAGAAGATGGTGAGAAACTGGAAGAAGGAGAAGATGGGGAAGACGAGAAAAGAAAGGAAAGAAATAAGAAAAAAAGATGAGAGATAAAGAATGATTTAATTGCAAATAAATATAAAGATATTCGTATAGATGCAAATAAAAATTAGGGTTTGTATATGCGTAAATAAAATTAATCATGATGCGTAAATAAAACTTTGAGCTAGACAACGGGCTGTTTTGAGGTACGGGCCTTTTGGGCCGCAGGTTGAGCCCAACCTTTTGCTGGGCTACCTTCAATGAAAATAGTGGCCTTGCGTCTGCATAACTGATGACGTTTCCCAGATCCACCACAATTGCTGCCAGAAGAAATGCAATCAACAAAACTGGAGGGCACTTATTGTTGTTCATATCCGCACACTCTTCTTCAAATTTTTTGTTTTGGGCAAGTTAAAATAATGACCTTTTTTCCCAAATTAAACTGTGATTTACTGTGTTGTGAGAGGATCTTTAAATAGGCAGTTTTTTATATTTTATTTTTTAAATCGGATTTGGATAATCCAAATTTAATCTATCTAATTGGATTGTTATATATTAAAAATATTATTTGATATTTGAAATATATAAAGACAAAATCATTATCAGATTGTTTAAACAAACTTTAAACTTTAAAGGTGATAGATTAAACCATAATTTATATTTTCTATTTTCATTGATCAGCGGATTTGTCTAGACAATTTCATGTTTTTTTTTTCTTTTTTTTCAATGAATCGAGTTTTCTCATAACATTTTTCACAAAAACATACCTTGGTCATTAGAATTTAAAGAGAAATAACACAATTTTTATATTTTAAAAATTAAACTATTTTGTATTTACTTGATACATAGAAATAACGCTGAAATCGTGGAGAATGTAATTACTATTTTGATATTTTAAAAATTAAAGTGATTTGTATTTAATTGATCATTTTTTGGCATAATTAATTTTTTCTTTCTAAAATTTATTCCTATTTTATTATTTAATTAGTTTTGAGAAGACGAGAGCTACTTTTTTCCCCCTTTTTAATTAAAAATTTTGATTTTACATTTTTCCTTTTTCTTTTAATTAAAAAAATAACATAATAAAATAATTAAAAATCTCAAAGCTGGAGTCTTTACATGTTTATCCAATGAATATGGTTAATCTTTTATAAGTTAGCTTTGTGATTTTTGTTTTCTAGAAAATAAATAAATATACACATACAGATGACGTGAAGGAAAGCAATTAAGGCTGGCATTTGACCGAAAACAGAACCGAATCAAACCGACTAAAAAATGAATCGAATTGTACCTACTCATTTATAACGGTAACCGATTATCAATTACCGAATTGTTATCGGTTCGGTATCGATTCCGAAACCATAAAGGATCAATTTTACCAAACCGGACCGATAATAAATTAAAAAAAAAAAAGATGAATGTGGTAAATAAATGTTGTTGGTATTATTGGTGGATGAATATTGTGTATTATTGGTGGATAAATGTTGGGACTTAATCAAGTTGTATTATTATTGGTGAATTTTGACTTTTCAGTTTTTTTGGGGTATGAAACCATTACCGAACTGAGTTTTCAGTAACCGAAAATTGGATTACCGATTACAATCGGTTTGGTAACAGTTTCATATGTTGTTACCGAAATAACCAATTCGACATCCATTTGGTCTTATCAGTTCAATAACCGAATCGATACCGACCCTAAAAGCAATGCATTAGAGATAGTTTTACACTGTTATAATCTACGATGTCAACAGTGACATTATAAAAATTCACAATCCAATTAATTACTGTGTCATGAACATTTTAACATTGACAATCATACACTAGAAATGCTCTCAGTCTTCAGCCTTCAACTTTACATTTTATGTTTTGGCTTATTTTTATTTCATTTATTTAGTCAAAGTCCTCATGCACCTTGCAAAACCACTACAATAAAAAAAT